TGTAAATATTGTGTGCTGTCTGGAATAATATCTTTCAAATGATCGTACAAACGTAAAAACTGGTGCAGGTATAATACCTACTATATCTTTCATTTCTCGAAGCGCATTAGAGCGTGCATAATCAAATATAAATAATCCTGTTACGTTGATCTGTAATTTCGACTAGATATACAACGTCGCGAGTGTAATCAGAATGTAAACAGTCGCATACAGGTGTGCGATGAAAAACAGGTGGATTCGAAGCTTTCCTCAGAATTAAATCCCGATCAATTCGCAATCATTTAAATGGTTCGGATTGCGTGAACGCCGTGAACACCGTGAACGTGACGGATGATCGCGCGGCAGGTATGTGAGGTATGCACGCGCGCGTGGTTACACGCATGCAGGTGTTCACTGTACACGCATAGTGCACGCACATACATGCGCCTACGTTTCGTGTCGCGCCTCCTCACACCTCCCTGCGACCTGCGACTCCCTCCATCGCCTCGACGTTCCCCGGGCCCCGCCCGCCCTCTACCCACCTCTACCCACCTCTACCCACCTCTACCCACCTCTACCATCGCCTAGCCGTTGTCCCGTGCCCCGATGTCGTACACCTTGATTTCGTGATTCGTCGCGCACCTCTTCGGCTCGCGCGGGCATGAGACAGGCCGCATCACCTCAGGTAGGTCATCCGGTGTCGTGGCGTGGAATCGACTAGCTCGACTCCACGTTTCTTTTCTTTCTACTTCGCACGATTCTCTGGTCTTTCTCTCCCTTTCCCCGTCGCGAACGGTCCAACGTCGCGCGAGATCTCCCGTTTAGGATACACGGAGGTCCATCGCGCGAAACCTGATGCACCCGACCGACCGGGGATTTCCGCGTTCCACGAGTACCGCGCCAGATCGAGGACGATCGTCCCGATTGGAATCTCTCATCGATCATCCTTGTGATGTAATATGAAATGTTTCACGTGAGAATGACAATCTCGCGTCTTGGGATTCCATATCCGGGGACACTCCCTTTTACCCGAGCGAAATCGGCAGTGCGTACCTACGTGCCGACGAGCGCCGACAAGTGCCGATTAAACGCACCGCTAATGAGCTAGCAAGGCCGAAAATTAGAGTACGAAATGGCAGCCTTAATTAGACTATAACATTTCAGATCGTAAATATTTTGCCATTTGTGTATACACATTTATTTTTATATTTTACAAATATCTTAAAATTTATTAATCTATGATAAGCAATTGATTCTCTGAAAAATATCTCTAAAATTCTTAGAAAACATGTATATTTTTTTTTTTAGTCATGAGTTCCGAAGATACAACAACTGATACAACTGACAATGCGGCGGCGGCAGCTGATTCCTTTGGAGTAGCTGCACATACAAATTGGGTCCAATTTGAGGAGGAGACAGATTCGAAAGAAGCTACCAATATCGAAAGAAAAGCCGGCAACAGTAGCGCGCCCGCCGTAATAAAGCCCGAGTCGGTTACTGTACAGGTCGACAAAATCGGCAAAAGTATTGACTCACCTGATATTAATAATAAGAAAACCAATGAGTATAGAGGTGCTGTGATAGCAACCGAATCCGTCCAGATTAACTTAGATAGATCAGGTTTAAGTCGTTCTATCACGTCCGAGACTCCGGATCTTAAATTACCATCTGACGTTCGAGCGTCAGAAATCAAGAGCGCTTCTTTGAAGACCATCGACCTGAGGGATGTGTCCAATGGAAGAAATGCACCGAGTAACGTTATCAATACGTCGATTGGAAACATTAGGCAGGGTTTTGCCAATGGCGATACCATAGTTACTCTTCTGCCGGTAAATACTAAGTGGCCGTGGATTACTCCGGCCAGATTCAGACCGGAATTGGTGCCGGAGGAATTGATGGCACAAGGATTAACCGTACGTGTAATTTATCATATCCTGTTTTCTTTCTCGACAGCGCTACAACCTGAATTAAACTTTGACCTTTATTTCGTTATAGCTGTAACTTTTACAAGAGAAGTTGTAAACATTTTGCAGTATTGAATTTTGTTTTTAGAGTAATCTATTTATCACTATTTGGACGTTTCCTGTCCTCCAAGAGATAGTATCGAGACTTGTTTATCTTGAAATTAATTTCATGTTCGGATACTTTGGCTTTATCACAATAGAATCTCTTCCCACTTGTAATTTCGAACGTCATATGTACATATATACATATAAGTGGCATGGTATTTCTAGATAACAAATCCAAAATTTCAAGTCAAGTAAACAAGTGACTACTGTTTCAATATTGAGCTATTCAGCACGGCAATTTATTCATATTATTTTAATATATTTGTATATCATGATTTTATTTTTATTAAAAAAATTTTTACTTTTAGTAATACAAAATTCTCTGTATTTAATTAAATTATAGGATATGATTTGAAATATTAAAGTAATTAAGAGGAATACCAGCTCACACACTTTTTCTTTACTCTAAAGAAATCAAATGATCAATAGTCTAACAAAACAGATATATTGCAGCTTACAGTGGAAGATTATGTTCACATAATGGAATTACTTGTGAACGATGTACGCTTCAATATGTATAACATATGCTACAAGAGGATTCTCGTCCTTTGGATATTCACCGCCTTCGTTGTGCTGCTTGGTTTATTGTTCTCCGGTGTGACTGGCCTTACTTTATTCGGACTGGGTGTTATGTGGTTAATCCTGAACGCAGCTGCAATATTTTTCTGCATGTTTATCAAAATAAAGCTCAATCACAACCTTGAGAAATGTATGGCTCAAGTTAATAAACATTTATTAAGACATAAAATATTACTGGGATTAGATGATAGAGGGAAAATCTCCTGCCACAAAGTTAATCTGTGTTTCATATACTTTGACACTACGGATTGCGTTGTAAGTGAAGCTTTTATTAGAATAGAATTTAATCACTTGCTTTTTAAAGTAATATAAAATGATGTAAGAGCATACTCTTTTTAGATAAATATTCATGTACATACAAATATTATCTTTTTTATTGTAACATTTTTAAATATTTATTTACATATATCTGCGAAAGATTAATATAACGGCTTATTTTCTGATAGAAAAAGCTGCAAGAAGTAATAGAACGGGAAGAACGCGAAGGTAGAATAATTGGTGGCGATGATGCAAACGATATAAATCGACAACGAGAATTACAGCAACGTATGGACATTGACGACAGTGACATTGTTATACAAGGCAGCACCACTACAAGAATCTCTCGTAAACAGGTAAATGCATGATTTCTAGTCTAATTTTTTATTTATATTTCTCTATATTCTTAAAATTATTTCAATTTTATTTTATTTTAAAAAGTTTTCTTTATAATTCCAATTTTTAAAATAATTTTACATTGACATTTTCAATATTTTATTAATTAGGCTAGATATTGAGGAGCTAAAAATAAAAGTACTATTCCTTCATTTGTAAATCAATATATATGTGAAATAAGGCAAAAAGTTCAGTTTTACATCCATTCTTCTTAGTTTTACTTCCAACATTGATGTTTTTCTCCAAAGCATAAACATACTGGTTTTGTTTTAAGTATAGGTACAAAACATAGACGAAAAGAATTCTTATATGTGACGTTGAAACATCTTTAGCTTTTCAATATATAAGCCTTAATTGTTATACAAACTCGGTTTATTTGTGAAATGCGACGTTACTGACTTCAATAAGTTATATTAAATATTTTGTTGTGCATTATATTAAACTACTAGGGTAAAAACGAACAAGTATTCTGCCGTTATGTGCAACGTTGGGCGAAGGATTACTTACGTCGGCGTTTGGATTGGACAGTTGACGAGGAGGGTGGAAATCCTTCTTCGCCACGTCATTTAGCATCCGGTCTGTGTCCTTGTCAATATATAGAAGAATGGTTACGTAATAAGCCACGCGTTCAGGGCAGAGACTTTTGTCCTAGGTGGAGTAGTTTTCTCAGAGACAGAGGCATTTGAGAAATACGATTATTCCATGCTACTTATAAAGATACACAGGCTGTTTCACAATTACACAAAAATTGCAGAGATTTTATGATTTATTAAGTTTTTTCGAATGCGCATAACTAAACGTATAAATAGCTTCCAAAAAAAATTACAATTTACTTTTATCGATTCGCAAGTCATTTTTGCCGTAATCCTTTGTTTAAGACTTATGTTTAACATACATTTGTAAAAGTGGCCATCTTTTTTTGATATAGAAATAGCTGAACCGCACAATACATGGACAAGAATGCAACTTTTGATTTAAATATCAAACATTTATTGCATAAAAAATTTTAAAAGAAGTTTTTTCTCTTAAATTTTGTTGAAACTAACTTTTGCTTGCGAGCATAGTGATGTAATTACTTTGCAATATCTAATAGGTCATTGTTTCTTATTGCTGTATTTGTTATATTATTTTGGGAATTATGTTTACTGATGTCGTTTATATACGTTTAATTTTAAAATATTTTAAAAAATGTACTTAACATTTTATTTAAAAATATCAAAGTATTAGGTAACTTACATAATAAGTGGCAATTTGGCTCAAAGAGAGAGATTGAAATTAATATAATTATAGAGTTAAATAGAATAGAACGGAATCGTTTTTCGTTTTCAGAGCAAGACTCATTTACATTCCGCTAAAGACTCATTTAACGCTAAATGTGGTGTTCATATATTTTACTCGTAAGATAAAGATTATATTCAATTTTAATGTTATATTTTGAAGATCATATCACCACATTTAATGTTAAAATTGACAATAAATCTGTGGCTTATTGTTAACACAATCTATAGAGATAGATAATGATGGATATAATAATTTTTATTTTGATCTATTCAGCATTCCAGTAAATTGTTTCCTTTGAGAGACAAATAGTGTACAAATTTTTAGGGCTAATTTTTATCAAGTTTTCCCATTTATTTATATTGATAAATGCTATGTCAGTATTCTTCTCTTTTCACCAATAATTTTTTGATGCCCTAATTATATTTAACAATCTTGTGCTTGATGAAATAAATAAATATATATATATATATATATGTGTGTGTAACATAAATATATACCTGTAAAATGGTGAGCGAATAATTTTTAATTCATAATGAGAATATAATTTGTAATTACGGTGAAAATACTTTTATGACAAAAAGTCATTATCAAGCATAATGGTCAGTCAGAGACATCATTAGCATACAGATGATTATATTTACGAATTGTACTATACTGTATTATGAAAACTATTACTTATAATATCAGTTTTCAACAGTTATATATATGATAGAAATATATAAGGGTGTATCCAGATTATCGAACCGAAACTTGAGCCAACCTCAAGCCACAAGCATTTTGGTAAATATTTGTTACACGACTCGGCAAAAAACAACGAAAGTTAGCCGAAATGCTCGCGGTTCGAAGTTCGACTCAAATTTCGGCTCGATAATTTGGACGCAACTTTACATTGACACTTGCAAGCTTGTATTTTAACATAAAACTAAATATAAAAATTTGAGAGTTTTTTGACAGAAAATTGAAAGGTGGAAGGAAAACCACACATTACTATTTTGCGTGAAGCAAAGGGTTCTACTGAATGATGATGGTGTGTGTTGACAGGAACGGGCGGAGTTGCTGTTGCTGAGGTATACGTCTCGATGGGCACGTCACTTCGTGCGTCGCAGACTTGATCTGGTTATAGACTCGCAGGAACGTAATAGAGGTATTATGGGTCTGTCTGTTCCACCGCGCCATTGTGTCTCCGCCCGTTGCCCTTGTCAATTCATTGAGGACCATCTCAAACACAAGCCGAGAGGCAAGTTGACGTTACGTAAATTTTTTCTAATGCCAGACTTCACTAGATGACTGCCACTGGAGACTGATATCACTTTTAAAAAGGGCACTTTAGAATCTAACAATAAAAATCTTAGAGAGAGAAATTATGCTGATGTGTCTCTGACACTTCAACCAATTTAATGTTGTACAGTCAAGTTGTTATGCAATAACTCATTCAACAATCAATATTTTTAAAATTACTATATTAGTAGAGTATAAGCGCAACATAATGAATGATTATGTTATTGATATAGTAGATATTGCAGGATAGTCCATTTATTCTTTTAATATTTTTTAACATTGTACTTTTTATTATATATACTGCAGTAATGAAATTAACGATAACAAATTTATATATGCATCGAAAATTATCGTACCAAAAAAATACGAAATGATCGTGCTATATTTTTAATAAAATATATATGTTTCTATAATCGAGTAAAATTTATTCATGAATTCTAATGATCATAAATTGAGACTGTCTATCTTTTATGTCACATTCCACGTACTGATAATTTATTGAAAAATTAATGCATCCAGAATGCATTTAATGAAACATTAATGTATCACAAAAAATATTTCTTACAGTATATTTGTTATTTAATATTTTTTATCTGTGCTTCCTTTTATTTATTTTGTGTATATATATATATATAAAAATTTTTTAAACTTTTATAATATTCATAGATATCAATATTGATTTAAAAAAAAATTGCGTTCACAATTAGCAATTACGCTTGATCGTGTCATTAAATAACATATTACATTACATATATATCATTATATATAATATATTATATCATATATGTTATATGATAATATGTCTTCAGCTTCGAAAACATAATTTTGAAAAGTGCTAAAAGTAAAGGAGAAACGTTGTCACGATCATACTTTTCAAATTTTAAATTTAATGTTCACACATTGAGCAAAACGTGCATTATAAGATATCGAAGTAAAATTGTTCACCATTTTAGAAGGTAAAGTTTGTTTTCGTCAATTTAAAAGTATGGAGCCTACATAACGTCATTATTCGTCTTTCCTAAGGCACAACTTCCGTCTTGTTTATTTGTGACTAATATAATTTAATTAAAGGTTTTGTCATTATTTAAGATTGGGATTTTGTAGGAAGTAATAGTACTGATAAGGATTAAAACACCGAATAGCACTATCGCACTCGATATACTGTCGTCGCATTTATCTCAGTTCTACTTCTGGGTTAAAAGAGAATTTTTATTATTACTTATTATTTTCGAGCCTTTATTATTACATTTGCCATAGGTCTAAAGAAAGACACTATAATTTTTTAATAGTATGGGATTTATACTAAAGACAGGGTATATCGTAGACATATACAGATTAATATTTGAATAGAATTATGAAATATGTATTGTTCGATTATAAGAATAATGGATTCCCCCTGACAAGACAATAAATTTAATAATTATTTGTTAGTTTTTTGAAAATATTAATTTTTTTTTAGATTAAACATACATAATGGCTCTATTTTCTTTATATAGTGCAATCGTACATATACAATCGTAAAAAGAGCAGTTAATTACAATGAAATTATTCAATAGTTAATGTTACGAGATGATTCACTTTTAATTATGTTATAAATGCTGCTGCACAAATTATTGATATATTGTAACCATCACTATCGCGCGCGCGATTTTATATGTATTAGGTATACACGAGATAAAATTTGCACATTTTTATTCTAATCCGTCCTAAAATCTGTATAGATGTAAGCCGTAGTTAAGAAGATGTAATATACTTTTATATTGTGTTTACGTAGTACTTATTACAGAATCCACCACAAAATTATAATTGTACAGAACCGCCGATATTCCTATATACAAACTGTAAAGCACTTTTATATGATTGTTAAAAATGTTGTGGAATAAAAATATATACATATGTCTATTCTTTACCAATGCCGTGTACTTTTATGTAAAACTGTAAAACATTGATTGAACATTAATCTTCTTGTTTATAGTCTCTATTAACTTTTGTGTAGTGTACATTAATACGTAACTAACATACTAATCTTGAGGGATTCCTTGCATGCAGCCGGACGGAAGATGATGAATCTCAATATATTACCTCATCCGCATATCATCAGCACGTAATAATAATTTCTAATATTATGTAAGTATTATATCAAGCAAGTTTTACTCACATTAGTGAAAATTAATAAGACGCAAAAAATTTACATTAGCTCTTAGCACAATTAAATTAGTTATTAAGTTCAATAGCACTTAACGTATCAGAGCAAAAAATGAAATTAAATATAGATGCACTTTGAATGGATGGATATTTTTTCTTGTACAATATCCAATTTGCTAAGAGGTCTTTGCGTGTCGCGTGTTTTAACAAGAAGAAACTCTATATCGCTATTATTACTACATTAATTTTATGGCCAATTACTTTCTGTCTTTGCATGCATGGTTATTTGGGAGTTTGTGCATCTAATAACACCTTAAAGTAATAAAAAGGAGAAAAAATTTAAAAAATTACAATCCTATTTGGCTACCTCTTACATTGCATTATTCTAATATTTTCGCAATTCTTCCTCGCATACGTCTTCTCTATTTTCTTTTCCTTTCAAGTTTTAAGCATAGGTAAAAAATTCTATTAACATCATATAAAATAATAGATTTTATTTGAAATAAATAACATGTCTTCCTCTTATTGAACATTATACCACGATTTTGTATTTAATTTAAACTTGTGTGTCTCTCAAGAAAGTAAAATCTAAGTATTATACATAAATTGACGTTTTTGTTGTTTCACTAATACATTATTTATAAATAATACATTATTTATGACATATGAATTTATATGTGGTGATACATTTTTTTTAAGATGTAAAGGAGGTGCTATATGAGCCATATATCAGGGTATGCATTACATTTGCATCCTTGTTATTATTAACATATATTAATCTATCGACATGATTTTTCTAGGGTATCCACCAGGATTTACGTGGTGTGCCTACCTTAGTGAACCTGTGACCCGATTTGACATGGTACCAAGTTTTTCCCATTAAATATAGTTTCTGTCTTTACAGATCGTGTTGATACAATATCGTTCGAATTTATACATATATAGACAGATGAGCTATATATCAAAATAAGATATACCGTTACATGTACAAAGAAAGCTATTTACACGTTAATTTAATTATATATCTTTTTATTCGCGCATTTGTTTAGAATAGTTACTTAAGCGAAAATTATCTGTTATCAGATTTTATAACATATATATTTTTTATAACTATATTCTTTGATATTAACAATAATTAATCTGTTTTCGAGCTTTTGATTATTTTTTAATATTATATTTAATATATTGCTCAGTGGTATATAGTGATTTAAATTATTGGTTAAAGCTGTTCGATCTCTTATTCGGAAACTATTCGCAGAAGCAATGAAATAATTTTCTGAAATAGTTGTGCGCACGACACAGTATTATAAGATATAAATTAATCATATCAATTTATATATAAATATATTTTTGTCGTATAAGGTATTATTATATGTGAAGATAGCTATACGTTTAACAGGCAATACTCGGTAATCTCTATTAATCAAAGAGTTATAAAAAAATTTCAAATAAAAGGGGTGCATTGTTTCATAAGAAAACTATATTATGCTAGAAAATTAAAAAATGTAATTTAAAAATATATAACAATCTCTTTTTATCATGTTATTTCATTAAATAAGCGTAATGCAATTCAATTTTTATCTAAGACTATTTTTGATAATTCTTTGAATAACTGAGGTTACTGTACGGTTTCCTTTAATTGCTACTTTGCATATCTTTAACAAATATAAAAGTATAATGTAAGAATAATTTGTAAATTTTTATATGCAAGAAGTAAGAGGAAATCATAAATCTTTATAAATGTTATCCATCACGATAAATGTGATAGATTATATTTATCGTAGCATCATGCTGCAGATAATGTTAGACATTAAGTTATTACTTGTGCCTTGTTATAAATTTCGTTCGGATTGATCTATGAAATATGATGTATCATTAAATAACGTATCAATCTGTGTAATCGGTGTACTGTTCAGTGTACTAATATATATGAGTACGCACGTACACAAACGAATATCAATGTTAAGAACATAAAAAAATTATTGACAAAGATTTTATTAAATACTTATTATAGAGAAGATATGATATAATTATTTATCTAATATCTTACAAAATATCGTCAAATGTTTTCTTAATATGAATTCAATTTATTTGTAATAGTTACCAATGAAAAATGTATTTTATATAGTAGATGTATTCATCTACTTACTTTAAGTTAGCAAGAGTTCCAGGGGAAAGGCATATAAAATATATATTAGCAAAAAATTAACAATGGTCAAAATTTTATGGAATAAATTATGTAAGCATTTCAAAATAATTTCTTTATTTGAGAAGCTAAACTGTTAAAATAACGCGACATGACTAGTATACCCTTGCAAATATGAATTTATTTCTTAAGTTACCAGAGCAGCTTTTGCCTGTTTTCTAATGTCATCCGCAAGCCTCTTTATTTCTTCATTATCTGCATGCATTTGTTGACTCTCTTTCTTTAAGACACATTCCAACTGCTTTAATTGCTGTTTAGTACTCAAATAAGTTTTCACTTGTTTGTATATATCATCAGTGTTATTAACACTTGATGAATTGTAAGACTCTTTCATACATAACTCATCTGAAATCATATTCGTAGGAATATAATCTATCAATTCTTTTAAACGATTATCCTGTGATCAAATACAAGAAAAATTAAATGCGAGTTTTTCCAGATTTTACTTGCTATGCTTTATAAGAGAAGATTTAAAAATGAGTGACAGTATAACGGTTTTTAATCATAAATATTGCAAATGTTTACTTGCGATTTTAAACGCTACATCGTCTACCACAGCTCTATCGAGGTCTTCCAGCATGTGTTCATGGCTTGGCATGTGAGGCCTCTCTGGCAAGTTGTTTTTCTTGTTAGTGAACATTATCGAAACAATCAAGATATAAGGATCAAAATACCAGTTTTATCCTTTATATTCAATCACCGCGTTAAATATTGTTTTGTTCAGAAATGAAGATTGTAGATTTATCCCTTCTAGCTGAACTATCTCCATCAGAACGGAATCGACGTTCACGGTTCAGACGTTGCTGTTCTCGTTGCCACTGCACTTTATTTAGCTGAACTTGTTGCACCTTTTCCTTTTTCTCCTTTTCTCTCTGATGTCTAAATATGCGTCTATTTCATTTTAAGTGCAGAAAGTGTAACGTAGTGTAAGTACGAATAACCTCTTGTTGATCCTGATGCCTGAGCCTGAGGGTATTTGTTAGGTTGGCTGTGACGAAAAAGAATTTATTGCCAGATACAGAACACGAATCAAAAGCAATTCTGTATTTAGCCAAGAAAATACGAAAATCTACATAAAAACGTATGTAATCAGTTAATAATCTTTATCGATTATTGAAAAATATATGTTTACTTACATCTTATCCATGTGGTATGTCCACATGTCATTTTGCATATTGATTGTTTTATTGAATTAATTTTTTTACTAGATGCCATCCGTAACGTTAAAAGATGTGGATCAAGCAAAATTTGTCAAGGCTTTTGCAGCCTTTCTGAAAAAGTAAGGAATATGAATAGAATAATTAGAATGTAACCTATAAATAGAATAACAAGTAGAGTATTTAAAATGTAATCTAATTTCTTGTGATTATATGTAACATAAAGTTTTATTATTTAAAATTATTTATGTTTTATCATCTATATTTCTTTTTTTCTCTATAATAGTAAAAATTCTCTATTTTGTATATTGAAGTTTTTCTGGCAATAAACATGTAAGACAGAACTCTAAGATATGTCATTGCAATTCGAACTACATTGTACTTTATAAAATTTTAGAACTGGTAAGATGCGAGTGCCAGAATGGGTGGATATTGTGAAGACAGCCAAATTCAAAGAGCTGGCACCCTATGACCCTGACTGGTACTATATTAGGTGTGCAGCCTTGGTGCGTCATATTTATATTCGTAGTCCTGTTGGAGTTGGTGCGGTCACAAAGATCTTTGGTGGACGCAAACGTAATGGCACTCATCCCAGCCACTTCTGTCGATCAGCAGGCAGTGTCGCGAGAAAAGCACTTCAGAGCCTGGAGCAGTTAAAACTCATCGAGAAGGCACCTCTCGGTGGACGTAAACTGACCAGCCAGGGACGCAGGGACTTAGATCGTATCGCTGCACAAGTTAAAGCTAAGAGCAAAAAACAGCTTAAACTTCAAGACGCAATTGTAATTTAATACCCTTCTTCTATAATAAAATAAAAAACGTAAAATCTCAATTCTCTTCATTAGATATACCCTGCATATAATAATTTTTTTTTTGATAAAATTTATTGAATAATCTCCAAGAATATTATTGAAAGTTAAAAATTTGTCAGGATGCCTTATCTGCATAAAAATAAAATTGCAGGGAAATCGGATTTAGGAAAAACTGTGTTATCACAATATAAATATAAAATGCGTAGACTTAATTAAAATAAAATAATATAATCATTCATATATATTTGCATTCACACATAAGAAAAATTTCGTTTTGATGATTTCATGCAATGGAACGTGTCAAATATTTATTATTATTACAAATTACAAATTGATGTAAAGTATTACAGGACAATGATCGCTGCCGTAAACATCCTTCCTTATAATATTATCGCACACTTTATTTTTGATCCGTTCTGATATCAAGAAGTAATCTAGTCGCCTGTACATAAAAAATTTTAATCAATGATGCAAGATTTGTATATATAACATAGTTTTTACACATATATAACATAATTAGATGAAAGTAAAAATGCTAATAAAAATAACTTACCATCCAATGTTCTTACCACGTGCATTGGCAAAATACGACCAAAATGTATATGCACCCTCTGTTTCAGGATACAATGATCTAAATGTATCTACAAATCCGGCAGCTAAGAAATCGGTCATATCATCCCGTTCTTCTTTAGTAAATCCAGCATTTTTAGTGTTTGTTTTAGGATTCTTTAAATCTGGAAATCAATGATAACAAATTAACGTTTCTATTGTTTCTATTGTTTCATTCGTATACTAATCGAATACTGATACTTTATATTTAAAAAATTAAAATTAAATGATTAATATTAATAACATTACACAATAATAAAGAGATTCACTTATTATTTCAATATTAATACTATACCAATTTCTTGATGAGCTACATTCATGTCACCGCATATAATAACAGGTTTCTTTTGATCTAATTCTTCAATATGTTTTTTGAATAATTTATTCCACTCCAATCGTTTTGGTAATGTTACCAACTTCTGTCCAGCATTTGGCACATCTGTTACATTATATTCTATTAGTAAATATCAAGCATTATTTTTGATGAAGTTACGAATATTTCAAGAGAAATAAAATTATTTAATTTTACAAAATTCTATTAAAATGTTTACACATCACATAGTATATTGAATTGTACATGTATTTGATTTTTGTAATAATATAATTGGAATTTATTTTAAGAGAATTAAGTAACTTTCTCTTACAAACGTTGATCACAAAAAATTCTGGGAACTCCACCGTGATTATCCTACCCTCGGTATCAAAGGTAGAATCATTTAAACCATATTTCACAGAAATTGGTTTTTCCTTGCTGAACAAAGCAACTCCACAATAACCTGGTTTTTTACCTATTGAGGCATACTTATTAATTATATGATTTGTGTGTGTGTGTGTGTGTGTATATATAATTCAATGTTTTTCTTGAAATATATCTTACTGTCAAGGAAATAGTGATGATATCCTGGCAATTTGACTTCGTCTGGCATTTTACCCTTGTCACATTTTGTTTCTTGCAAAGCAATTATATCTGCATCTTCTTTGGTAATATAATCGAGTCCATGTTTCTGTTTAAATATAAATAGAAGAATCATTATAAGTATGATACATTAAGAAAATGTACCCATTGACATAATGTACCTTGATTACAGCCCTAATCCCAGAGACATTCCATGTACAAATCTTCAGATTATGCTTCTTTCCTTCCTGATTTGACTTTGTACATCCAAAATCTATTTCATCCAAGTTGGTATCTATCTTATTTTGCATTTGCTTGGGTTCATTTTTCGCCTTCTTTGAAGTAGATGAATCATCACTTTTATCAGTGCTTTTTGATGCCTTTGAATCAATTTTTGTCCTCTTTGGAGCAGGTTCATCATTTGTATCATTTACACGCTTTTTATTTGAAGTTCCATTTTCATCTAATTTTTGTGTTTTCTTACCAGGTTTAGCTTTGAGAGAATCAGCCTAATTTCAAGGGAAACTGATAAATAGTCTAGTAATTTTTTTATTTATTAATATAGAAAGTTATGGAAATAAGTATAATTATTTGATGGATAGTTAAATAGAAAATTTTTTGTAAATAATATGGTAATTACAAGATTTACACACAAAAGGATACTTTAATGGATACTTTAATGAGCATATAATTAAAGAATTGATAATTAAAGGAAAAAAATTAAATACAACATTTGCTTATTTAGTACATAAGTTAATCTTGCATACATATATTTTCCATACCTTTGCTTTTGAACTTTGTTTTCGTGGCATGCTGAAACTTTGCTGTTTATGAAGAGAGAATACTGCGCAAGATATAAACAGTGTTAATGTCTGATGGTTAGAGAGTTGTATCAATGCTTCTAAATAATCTTTCAACTTCATAAAACCGATACTGCGAGTGGAAAACACTGGAAATGTATTTTCGTCAATTATTTGTAATAATGTTAAAAACGCCGGTAAGATTTGTCTTTATCTGTATGATTGGAAGTTCTCAACCTCGTCGACGAGTATAATAAACGTAAAATTGCTACTGCGTCACAGCTAACATTACAGTTATTAAAAAGATTTCATTATCTGCCCTTAATCGATAAACACATAGCCTAGTCGTGGCGTCTAACGGTTCAACTGACTCTTCCGAATCCCGCCCCAGCCTCCACTTACAACCTCAGTGATCGCGTCGATCGCGATCAAAAGGACGATGTCGGCTTTCTAATTTATGATACCTTTTTTTACAGACCTGAATAATATCCGTACGTGTAACCGGAAGGGACGCAACGACGCGACACAGCCTGTACAACTTCAAATTTAGTGCCATTCGGCACTACGTGGTGTACAGGGGTCCAAACTCCAAGTCCAAACCCAAACCGTCCAACCTTTCCCCCCTTGGAAAACAATTTTCAGCGCCACTGTACGTATTTTGTTGACTACTTTTGATTCGAAAGATGAAAAGAAAATATTCTATAGGTAATATCGCTTTTTTTTATTAGTATTCGTATTTCTTTTTGTGTATGTAAACAACATTGTTAAAAAAAGTGCGAATATATATATAATGCAAAACATTATTTTTTTGTTATCTAATATAATATTTTTTCTATATTTTATTTTATGTACATATATATAAACTTCTATATTTTATTTTTTACATTTAGATTTTTTAAATTAATTATTTAATAAAATGATTAATTTGCTTGTATGATTTAGACGAGTGTCAAGATGTTGATTCTGCAGATATTATTTTGCTGCATCAGTGCTATATGAGAATCTCATATGTATTACTATCTTACAATTTCTTATCTAACAGATAAATTCAAATACTGAAGATAACATTTCTACAATTGAGCAGATTGAACGATAGAAGTACTTACAACTTTTTTTTTTATAATAGCACATATTTCCACAGAAATTGAGATATTATTGTCGATTGCCCTTTCAGAAAAGATCATTCAAATAAAATTATTTCAGAATTATTGCAGTAATATAACGTATGATTATCTAATATATTAATTTTTGTTTTATATATGTATATATATATATATTTATTTATTTATATCTCATTTTAACTCATTTTAACTCAATCTCATTAGAAATATCTTCATGAAAAGCAAAACAACCTAAACTGATTTACAGAAGAGTGAGATGAAATTTACAATAAAATTGGGCATTCTCAAAGTATCAGTAAATTCGCTCCGGCCATAGTAATGCCAATATGTTTGAATATGATGCAGAATAATTACATAAGAATACTTCCGGGCCTAGATTTGTAATATTTTCAGTAATAGTTTATTGTATATAAATCAGGTATATATAAAATAAACTTATAAAGATTGTATACACTTAAATT